AAACATTTCGAGGAGAGAGCCATGAGTGCCTTGTTCATCATCTGTATTTAGCAGAGTACATGTCACATAAAAGACACTCAATAACTACTTATTGCATAAATCACTTCATATATTGCTCTAAGGAACTCAGTTTCTAATTATTAGACAAAAAAGAGCCCTTTCAGGAGTGTGAGCATGGAAACTGACAAGATAAACTTTGTATTTTAGAAATGGCATGCTAACAGCCAAAGGAAGGATGGGTACAAGTGGATGAAAGTGCAGAAAACAGAAGGATGTTGTGTTCATCCTAGCAACAAATGATGCTGGCATAAATTATAGGGAAGTTGTTAGCACATATTTAGAAGGTTAGGTATTAATCAAGCGTGAGGCATAAGGTTGGAAAAGTGTATCTCAGTTCTTCAATGTGGACAGGACCTGGAATATGATGGGACATTTCTTCCATGATTACCTTATGTTATATGAAAAAGATAAAGAGATGTTGCAGATGTAAAGACAATCCCTACTCAGCCAGAGTTGGGCTCACACCTATAATATTAGCTATTTGGGAGGCTGAGATTTGGTAGATAATGGTTAAAGGCAGCCCAGGCAGAAAAGCTGTGAATCCTCTATCTCCAAAATAATCAGCAAAATGCTGGGGTGGAGGTGTGGTGCAAGTGGTAGAGTGTCATCTGAGCAAGCAAGCTAAGCGAGCATGAGAACCTGAGTTCAATACCTTGTACTGGAAAAAAAAATAAATTTTGACCTAATTTGAAGGGAAATATCTGGGTGGGCTGAATTGCAGGCGAGTCCCTTAAAGGAGGTGTCAGGAGTCAGAGACATCTCTACTGCTAATCTTGAGGAAGTATACTGCCTTGTTGTGCCAGGGCCTATGGAAGAGGCTATGTGCTAAGGATCTTGGGACACTCATGGAGGAGCTATGAATCATCCCCAACTAACAGCAAGGAAAATTAGGACCTCCAGTCTATAACTGCATGGAGCATGGGTATGGATTTTTCCTCAGTCAGGCCTCCAGATAGCAATGTAGCCTGACTCAGATCTTGATTACAATATTTTAATACTCCAAATTGAAGACTGTTTAGGGACTATCTGGATTCCTGACCAATGTAAATTGTGAGATAGAACATGTATATTACTTTAAGCTGCTAAGTTTGTGATAATTACTATATAACAACAGAAAACACAGAAAGACATGGTTGGGAGAAAGAGATGGTTTCCTTTCAGAAAAGGGCAAACCTAATACATTGTTGGTAGGAATGTAAAATAGTACAAACACTATGGAAATCAGTATGTAGTTACCTTAGAACAATAAACCTGTACTGGGTGCTGGTGGCTCATTGGTGTACTAGCTACTCGAGAACCTGAGGTTTAGGATCATGGTTTGAAGCCAGCCCGAGCAGCAGACTTTTATCTCCAATTAATCACCCCCAAACTAAAAGTGGAACTGTGGTTCAAGTGGCAGAGAACTAGCCTTGAACATAAAAGCTCAGGAACAGTGCCCAGGCCTTGAGTTCAAGTCCCATGACCCACAAAAGAACAAAACAGAAAAAGAAAGACTAAACCTGGTTACCCTCTGATCCAGAAATCCCACTCTTGAGCATTTGTCTGAAAGCTTCTAAGTCAGGATACAACAAAGGCACCTGCATACCCATGTTCATTGTAGCACTATGCACTATTTACCATAGCCAAGGTATAGAATCAGACCAGATGCCCTACAATGGATGAATGAAAAAATGTTTTTATATATAATATATAATATAGATAATGGAATCTTATGCAGCCATTATGAAGAAATACTTTTGTCAGTTAGAGTGGAATGGAAGAGTCTGGAAAATATACCAAACAAAGCAAGCCAGACCCTGAAAGACAGGGGACACATGTTTACTCTCATACATAGATCTTACACTCAAAATACAACCTCTTATATAATCACACATAGAGGGCATATTCTTATATACATGATTTAGTTGACTAAAGTGTAGTCTATATAGGAGTAAAGCTCCATGAAGTGAACCTCTCAAGCAATTAACAGACAGTTTAACAAAATTAATATCAGACACTGAAATGAGATTGTAAGGAAGGTATTGGGAAAGGGCTGGATGAATGAAAAAGAGGTCAGGGGACAAATACAGCAAAAATTACTCAATGCACATATGTTTTAAAGGAAGTAGCAACTGTGAAATGAGCTATGTGGGAGAGAACAGAGAGGATGGAGGAGAATGACTGAATGAGTGACTGAACAGGAATCACTGGAGATTTAGAAGGACACCTTAAATTGTAACCCCTTTGTACCTTTTGAAGTTTGGAAACAAACTAGGCCCTATAGTACTCATTATAAAAACCTGAAATGAGGACAGGGAGGGCTCCATGCCTCAAAAGAGAGAGGATCCTACAAACTCCCCTCCTTCCTTACCTGTGGCAACCAAGTTCGGAGGTAGAGGCCAGATGATTCATATCAGCATATCCTATCAAGTCTCTCAGAGAGCCTGGCACTGCTGGCTCATCCTTAATCCTAACTACTCAGAAGGCTGAGATCTGACGATTGAGGTTCGAAGCCAGCTGGGCAGAAAAGTCCCCGTGAGACTCTTATCTCCAATGAACCACTCAAAAACCAGAAGTGGCGCTGTGGCTCAAGTGGTAGAGTGCTCACCTTGAACTGAAGAGCTGAGGGACAGCGCCCAGGCCCAGAGTTCAAGCCCGACAACTAGCACAAAAGAAAAAAAGATTCTCAGGAAGTTGAGGGCTTTGGTGTGATGGGCTAGCTCTAAGACATTAGAAACAAAGTGGCCAGGCACCTAGAAGAATGTCCAGAAAGCCAGAACATAGTTGTTTACACCTGCAAGCCCAGCTGCTTTGGGTTCTATCTGAAAAACAAAATAAAAAGAGCATGGGGGTGTGGCTTAAATGGTTGAGTGCCTGTTTAGAAAGATGAGAGGCTTTTGCCAGGTGCCAGTGGCTCACGCCTGTAATCCTAGCTACTCAGGAGGCTGAGATCTGAGGATCTCAGTTCACAGCCAGCCCAGGCAGGAAAGGCCCTGAGACTCTTATCTCCAATCAACCACTAGAAAACTGAAAGTGGCACTGTGGCTCAAGTGGTAGAGCGCTAGCCTTGAGCTGAAGAGTGCAGGGACAGTGCCCAGGCCCAGAGTTCAGGCCCCACAACCGACAAAAAAAAAGAAAGAAAGAAAGAAAGAAAGAAAAATGAGAGGCTTTCTTCTGAAAGCTCAGTGCCTGCTACTGGTCACCAGTGGTTAATGCCTGCAATCCTAACTACTCAGGAGATGGAGATCTGACCATCTTAATTGGGAGCCAGGGCAGGCAGATAAATCTCTGTGGCTCTTACCTTCCATTAACCAGCAAAAAGCAGGAAATGGAGGCATGGCTCCAGTTGTAGAGCACCAAAAGTAAGCAAAAAACTAAGTGAGAATGTGAGCCCTGAGTTCAAGTCCCCTCACCCCTTACTGCACCCAAAACAAAACAAAACCCTCTCAGTACTTTCTAAGTCAGCCTGCACAGAAAAGTCCACAAGGTTCCATCTCCAATTAACCAACAAAATTCTGGAGGTGTAGTTCATATGGTAAAAGGCTAGCTCTAGCAAGCTGCATGAGAGGGTGAGGCCCTACAGTTCAAACTCGGGAACCCCTTCCAAAAGAAAAAAAAAATGTCAAGGGAAGACGCTAAGGATTGAGGAAACAATTTACAAAAGAGAAACTCAGAAAAATCTTATGAGTACTTTTCTTGGAAGGCTGCTGGACTCCTTGTCCACCTTAATTTCTATTCAGGAATTGCAATCTTTGGTCTAAGAAACTCTGACTCACCCTAGAAGAAAAATTACTAGAACCCAGGAGGAAATTTCCCTTATTTCACAGATCTTGGCCCTTTCCCCGCCCCCACCCCACCCCACCCCCGCCCTCCTCTGCTCCTCAGAACAAAGAACAGCTCCACCCATGTTGTCCTGGTGACCAGGACACAAGAAAAGACGCTAAACTCTGGCTTCTTTGAAGAGTGGAGGCGTGGCTTCGGTCGGAGAGAGGTGTGGCCTTAACTCCGCTGAGTAAGACTTGCTGGTAGTCAATGATCTAGGTGGGTATGGTGGATTTAAACGGTGAATCCCCGGCAAAGCACAGCCCACGCTCCTCTCCAGCTCCAGTCCCCGAAATTCCCAATTCATGGCAGTTAGGTCCAAAGGTCATTTGCTGGTTGTGGCCCCACTGGGCTCAGGGAATGAAGGTGGAGATTTGGGTCCGCAGTGGGGTAAATGTCAAGTCCTACGGTGCTAAAGGATGGTTGATCATCAATATTGAAAGAATTCCCTACTGAAGAGCCCAGAAAGGGCCCCCGCCCCTCTCTGCTCTTGCCTGTGGCCTGGACAGTCTGTGCAGGCCTTCATCCTCTGCCGCAGTTTGGGAAGTGGGGGATTTAGAGTGAGAGAATGGCAGCTGATAAGCCCGCGCCCTGATTCTCAAGTCGCATCAAGAATCCTGGCGAGGGTTCTGGGAACCACACTTCCTGTGCACCCTCCCCTCTTGTTCACCATCTCAAGAGTACCCCATGTCCCTGAATGAAGTGGTGGATGGTCGTCCCTCCATATTGCATCTTGCTTGATGCTAGGGAATTTGGGACTGTTAATTTCATAGTAGCAGAGGGAAACCAGATCTGCCCCTTGTTAACAATGGAAAGGATGGTTCTGAATGTAAACCAAGAAGGTTCTGAGGAGGTTCCAGCGCTAGTCCCTGTATTAACTCCGATAAGCCTGGCATCATACAGGGACCTAAGACTCTCTTCACTTCTTCCACAGGATTCTGGCTGCATAGACTGACCAGAAGTGGAGCCTGGTGGGTAACTAGAGCACTGCCCACAAGAAAACCTGCAAAGGGGATCTGGGTAAAATCAAAGTCCCGTTTGTTTGTTTTCTCAAGGTGGTGCTTATAGATTATCATTCCCCTCTTCTAGGTTTCTGACCTTACTAGGCGTTCTGCCTGCAGTACCTGACCCCTGTCATCATGCCGAGGGGGCAGAAGAGTCGGCAGCGCATGCGTGCTAAGCGTTACCATGCACGTGGTCAGAGCCGTGGTCTGCAGGAGGCAAAGACCAAGGCAGAGGAGGACGTGGAGTCGGCCACGTCTTCTGTTAGCGATGATGATACTTCCCCTAGTCCTCCTGATATCTGCACCCTGGAGCACTTTTGGGATGATATGCCATCTGGCTCTCCCAACGCAGGTGTTTCCTGTGCGAGTTCCCATGCAGGTGTCATGAGTCTCGATGAAGATGCTGGCGAGACCACGTCAGTGAGCATCTTCTCGGAGGGATCTATCACTCAGAGAATGTGTAGAGATCCTATCGCCAGAAAGACGCGTCGGCTAGTGCAGTACCTGCTGGAGAAATATAAAACCAAAGAGCGCGTCACTCAGGCAGATATGCTAAAAGTAATTAAAAAGAAACACAAGCAACACTTCCCTGACATGTTCAGAAAGGCCCGTGCCCGCATGGAACTAGTCTTTAGTATTGAGTTGCAGGAAGTAGACCCCAATAGTCAATCCTATACCCTTGTCAGCAAGTTTGGTAATGTCGATGGCAGTGTTAGTGGCTGGGTGCCCAAAACTGGCCTGGTGATGACACTCCTGGGTGTGATATTCATGAATGGTAACCATGCGAGTGAAGAAGAAATGTGGGACTTCCTGAATGCCTTCGGGATCCATGCTGGGAGGAAGCATTTAATCTTTGGGGAACCCCGCAAACTCATCACCAAAGATTTGGTGCACGATGGGTACCTAGAATACCGCCAGATACCTAATAGTGTTCCTGCTCGCTATGAGTATCTGTGGGGTTTCAGAGCCCGAGCTGAAATACCCAAGATGAGAGTGCTGGAGGTCTTGGCCAAGATCACAGATACGGTTCCTAAGGCCTTTCCCATGCTGTATGATGAAGCCCTAAGAGAACAGGAAGGAAGAGTCCGAGACAGAGCTGCGGCTGGAGATAGGTTTCCTCCTTTCACCTACTTTTAGTTAGAACTAACAGAGAGTTTTCACTGAGAGCAGCAAGCTGCAGGAAGCGCAAATATGCCTTCCTTCCTTCCCCATCAATATGAATAACAGTCTAACATTGGAATCATATTGTCATATTGTAATTGCAAGGCTTGTCCTTTTTAAATTGAACATTTCTTTTATTTCATGTTGTCATTTTATCCATTGTGTGGCTCTCAAATGTAGTGCTATGTAACAAGATTTGAAAGTTACACTTTTGGCATTTATTAAAATAAATTCACAATACATATTTTCTTTAAGATTCCCAAGGTACATAATATGGAAATGTAATAGAAATGTGAAACAACACCAAAGTGAAGTTGATGGATTACAGTGTGGAGGGAAAAAATAAAAATGGAAATGTTAAACAGAATTTAATTCTTAGTTTGTTTTTGTCATATTTTTTTAGCATAAAGCAGACTTATGTAGTTTAAGAATAGTTACTTGTTTTACCATACTATTCAGCATATTCCCTCTTATCTACTGGACTAAAAAATTAGAAATAAATAAAAATTATATATATATATATATATATAGAGAGAGAGAGAGAGAGAGAGAGAGAGAGAGAGGGAGAGTCAGTCATGGGGCTTGAACTCTGGGCCAGGGCGCTGTCCCTCAGCTCTTTAGTCTAGTGCTCTACCACTTGAGCCACAGTGCCACTTCCAGTTTTCTGGTGGTTTATTGGAGATAAGGGTCTCATGGACTTTCCTGCCTGGGCTAGCTTTGAACCCTAATCCTCAAATCTCAGCTGCCTGAGTAGCTAGGTTCAGGTGTGAGCCACCAGTGCCCGGGGTTAAAAAACTTTTTTTTTAAATAAAGAGAAAACTTCTGTTAGGAAAGTGTCCCCCCTCCCGGCAAAGGACCAGTTTCAATTTAGTACAAGGAAGGATTCTGGACAAAGCCAAGGATCAAATTGAGTATTCTGAAGACTCACAAAATCCCTCCTCTCCTGTCAGCCATGCCTTACAATAGACAGTTGTGTCCAGATGAAACAATGCTTTCATTCCCCCTAGATGGTCTCGAGAATTAAAGGGCTGTGGCGAGAGGGGCAGGCCTCTCCATCATAGGAATATTCAGTGTGAGAGCCCCTAGTGATGAATGAGGAGGATACCTGACCCAAAACAGAGACCCACAGACTTGGATCACTAGAGGGAGAATCTCAGTACCTGCTTTAAGCCTAAAGGATCATCAACCTCAGAACAATGGGATCCCATACCCCTAGCTCTCAGAAACTCCAGTAGCCAAATAGCCAGCTATGATTCACTCTGGTATCTGTCCCTGGGACCTTAGTCTGATGCTGGCTGATACAGTGCCGGGAAAATTCAGTGAGGACTCTGAAGAAGGAGTGGCTTGTGAGACTTACAACAAGGGAGTAGTACATAATTCCTCTACTGCCAGTCCTATGAAATGCAGAAATAGACACCTAGCAGAGAGAGCAGAGGTAGCCTTCAATTCCTACTCAGGGTGACAGAGCAAGCCTTGGTCTCATAGACATTAATAGGCCAAGATAAGGAGTAATATATATATTCCCATGAGTCACACTGAGGATCCCAAGAAAGACCTGGTGAGGGCAAGGATCATAAGGTCATAATTAACTGGTCACAGATTTCTATCTTAACACACCATAGGCAGATGGGGCAAAATAAGACTATCTCTCCTGCCCCTCAACTGCATCTCACACAGTTCTGAATATAACTAGAGACCCCCACAATTCAAAGGTGAGGGCAGCTGCCGGCTCTCCCAGCAGTTAAACTGGAGAAACTGAGCTCAAACGGAGGATATAAACTTCATGCTGAAGTTTAACTCACATGGTGAAATATCAAGAGGGTGAACCAGATGAAATCTTAAGAGAATAATCCCTTAACACATAGACCTTCAGAGCTATGACCTATAGCAAGGTCTAAGGTGGGAGGTTGATAATTTACATTGCTTATGTGGAGGCACTACTGGGGTTTGACCTTGAGGCCTTATACTTATAAGGCTGGTGTCCTGCCACTTGCGCCACATCTCTAGTCCTGCTTTTTGATGATTATTTTAGATGATGAAGTTTAGCACACTTGCTTCCTGGGATGGCCACAAACAGGAATCTTAGCTTCCTTAGTAGCTAGAATTACATAATTTACATTTCTAGCAACTTGCCTAGGCTGCTGGCTGAAAGTCGTACTTTAAGAAGCACTTTTAGTGTTTCCATATGGGATTTCTTCTCCAAAATTTCTCAAGAAACATGATGCCCCCCTGAATACTTAAACAAATCCATTGATAAACAGATGAGAAAAACATAATTTTCCTGTATGAATGAAAGTACCACCTAAGACTCTAGTTATAAAGAAATCCGCAGATGTTAAATCAAAAGAGTATGAGTAAAGTTCACACTTATGAAAAATAAAAGTCAACATTTTTAGGAAAAGAGACAGGAGTACATAGAAGAGAAATGGTTAATCTTGCTTATACTCTTTGCCATAATAAAAATGTATAGTATTTCTGGGAGCTGGTGGCCTGCCTCTAATCTTACTACTTGCTGGTGGTTTGTGTCTCTACTTTTAGTTACTCAAGAGGCCGAAGATCGCAGTTCAAAGCCAGTCTGAGCAGAAAAGTCCATGAAATGTGTTTTGGCAATTAGCTACCAAAAAAGCTGGAAGTAGAGCTGTGGCTAAAGTGGTAGAATACCAACCTTGAGCAAATAAGTTCAGGGACAGTGCCCAGGCCCTGAGTTCAAGCCCTAGTACCAGCACACACACATTATCTCCCCCCACAAATGTTATAGAATAAACACAGCTCTGTCTACCACTAAAGATGAGTCATTCTTGTAAATATAATAAAGCTTCATACATTTATATCTATAACTTTACTTTGTGCAGATCCTATTGTTTGTTGGGATAAGAAGTTTAGAAGAAAAATGAGTTCTTAAGTTTGCAATGTAAGCATGTGGTTCTGCTGGTACTATTGACATTTAAAAAAAAAACCTTGAGTGCTGTATTATTCAAATATCCATTGACATTTCCAGTCTTTGAATCTTCACTGTAGGCTAGTGATAATTGTAAATACTACAAAACATGCATTTGTTATTCACTAAATATTGTTTAGGCCAGGTGCTGGTGACTCACATCTGTAATCCTAGATACTCAAGACATTGAGGGTCACAGTTTGAACCTCGGCTGGGCAGGAAAGTCCATGAGACTCTTATCTCCAATTAACTGCCAGAAAACTGGAAGGGGTTGCTGCGGCTGGAAGTGGTATAGTACTAGCCTTGAGCAAAAAAGCTCAGGGACAGAGCCCAGGTCCTGAGTTTAAGCCCCATAAACAAACAAACAAACAAAAAAGATTGTTTAGATATCCTTAGTAATGAGAAAAATATATAAAGAGAAAATGGTAGACTAGAGACATCCAACACTCTCCTATGTCTTCAGGACTATGAAGTACTAACATCAGCTATATGACTACAAGAAGAGATGGCCTGTGTACAAAGACATGGGAGTACAACAGCAAACAGGAGGGACAGACCAGGGGAAATCCAGAAATATTGAACTAGAGACTTGAAAAAGAAACAAAAATGAAACCTTAACATTGGGTGCTAGGCAACACAGCAGAGAGAGAGGCGAATCCCTTTCACCTTGGTTGCAAGCAAAAGAACAGAATTTTGTTTTTTCCTTCCCCTCCCCAAGCTAGAGAAGTGTATACATAAGATGCAGGGCACCCACATCAAATATAGTGAAAACAGAGGTTGTACCATGGGGGAGGAACGTACAAAGAAACAAAAAAATCATATGGTACCTTATAAATATGTTAGGAACTATAGCAAGCAAGAAAAAAAACACTTGTGTCCCTATCTTGGGGTTCATTTCGCTTAACATCATCTTATCTGGTCCTATGTACATAGCTTTTGATCTTTTCTGCTCATCCCAGACATATACTAGTTATTGCAAATAAGGGAAACCATGGGACCTATGTTTCTTCGGGCCTGCCTTACTTCACTTAATATAATTTTTCCAAGTCTTTCCATTTCCTAACAAATGGGGTGACATCAGTCCTTCTGATGGAGGCATAGAATTCCATATATATATATATATATATATATATATATATATATATATATATATATATATATAACATTTTCTTGATCTATTCATCTACTGAGGGGTTTTAATAGGGATACAGGTTGACCCATTGTAACAATGATATGTACAAGACACTATGTTGGAAAACGAACTTTACAATTTAGGTGGGGGGAGGAGGGTGAGGGGGAGTGTAGTTGTGGAAGTGGGAAAGGAGGGTAGGGGAAACAAAGGAGGAGGTAACAATGCTTGGTAGGAAATGCACTCATTACCTTGCTCAAGTAACTATAACCCCTCTGTACAGTATTTTTACAATAAAACACGTAGTTTTTTTTAAAAGAAGAAAATCATCAATGAACTTCCCAGACACACAATCTGGCCCTCTACAAAAATAAATGTATAAGCTGGGTGCCGGTGGCTCACGCCTGTAATCCTAGCTCTCAGGAGGCTGAGATCTGAGGATCACGCTTCAAAGCCAGCCCAGGCAAGAAAGTCTGTGAGACTCTTATCTCCAGTAAAACCACTAGAAAGCCAGAAGTGGCGCTGTGGCTCAAGTGGCAGAGCGTTAACCTTGAGCTGAAAAGATCAGGGACAGCGCCCAGGCCCAGAGTTCAAGCCCCATGACCGAGCAAATTAAAAATAAGTAAATAAATGTATAGGACAATGAGGTAGGTTAGGTAAAGGGAAAGAATGATGAAAGCAAACCTTCTCTCCTCATCGGCCTTGAGCAACACCTATGAATGTTTTCATCACACTAGTATCTCCCATGGCCACTCATCCTTGTGAATAGTTAGTGGTTGGTTTGTGGTTAGGACTTCTCACTAAGGGTAGAAAGTCTCTGGGCCATGAACCAGTTTGGTGCTATCATATGTTCTCCTAGCTTGACCTTTTCAAAACCCTCTACCTAATGCTTCATGTCTATGGGTTGTA